CGTCCCCGCGGCGGGACCGCCCCGGCCGGCCCCCAACCTCCGCTATCAGCTAACGGCCAATGGGGGCGCGCGCCGCCCGCCGCGCGGCCAATGGGGGCCCGCGCCGCCCGCCGCGCGGCCAATGGGGGCGGGCCGCGGCTGCCGGCGGTGGCGGCAGTTTCGGGCTGCGCTGTGAGGGCGCGACCATGCCCGAGTGCCCGGAGCTGCACCTGGCCGGGCGCTTCATCAACGGGGCGTGCGGAGCGCTGGTGTTCGCGGGCGGCGTGGAGCGCTCGGCCGTGGGCCGCGGCCCGGAGGTGCCTTTCCGCAGCGAGGCCTACAGCATCTCGGCCATCGCCCGGGGCAAGGAGCTGCGGCTGACGCTGAGCGCGCTGGAGCCCGCCGCCGGCCCCCCAGCGCAGGACCTGGTGTTCCGCTTCGGCATGTCGGGGTCGTTCCGGCTGTGCCCCGCCGCCGAGCTGCCGCGCCATGCCCACCTGCGCTTCCTCACCCGGGAGAGCCCCCCCCGCGCCCTCTGCTTCGTCGACCCCCGGCGCTTCGGGTCGTGGCGCCTGGGGGACGCCTGGCAGCCGGAACGCGGGCCCTGCGTGGTCTCCGAGTACCAGGCTTTCAGGTGAGCCCTCTGTTGGCTTTGGCTGCTTTTCCTGCGCAGACATGTCCGGGTGACTCTTCTCGATGGCCTCTCTTGCAGGGAGAATGTGCTGAAGAACCTGGATGATAGGGCTTTTGACAAGCCCATCTGTGAGGTCCTCTTGAACCAGAAGTATTTCAATGGAATTGGGAATTACCTTCGAGCTGAGATCCTGTACAGGTAAAAGTGTGCTGGGCCCCCGCTGACCTGCCACAGAGGTTTAGTTTCTAAGAGTTTGCTGGAGCTTGACAGCTCCTTGGCTAAGCCGGCTGCGCCTCCTCACTTGGAAGTGCCAGAAGCGAGGCCTCAAGCTTGTGTGTAACTCTCTCAGGTTGAAGATCCCTCCCTTTGAAAAAGCTCGGACTGTGCTGGAGGCCCTGAAGGAGCAGAAGCAGGAGAGGAGGAAGAAGGTGGGGAAGGAATATCAGGTGCTTTCACAAGCTCAGGAAGCAGCAGGTTTCCACGCTGGAAGCAGGGGCCTGGTTGCCTGTGGCCCTTCAGAATGAGCTCTGCCAGTCTTCTGCCCTAAGGAAGTCTACAAGTGTTTTTGGGGTGGGTGGGGAGGAAGAGGTGATGGAAACACCTCACAAGCTTAAAGTCTCCAAGGGGAAGGCTGCAGTAAAGCCCAAGGATGATCTCGTGGCCTCAGGGGAGAGGAAATGGCTACTTTAAGCCTGAAGACAAACTACACGACCTGCTGCTGGTGTTTTTGTGTGTTAGCCCTCTTTTGTGTCTCTGTAGCTAAGCTGGAAGCCTAGTGTGTGGTGAGCTCAGGGCTATCGTGTGTGGCAGCTCATCCTCTGGAGGGCAAGAGACGGGGAAGAAGATGGGAGGAGAGAAGGTGAGGAAACAGAGGCAGGTGACTTCTCTGTCCTTCTCCATGCCTGCAGGATCCTTCCCTGACACTGAGCAAGAAGGTGAAGCTGAGGCAAGAGAACCCAGATCTCCTGGAGCTGTGCCACACCGTGCCCCTGGAGGTCATCATGGCAGGTGAGGGGACAGGACAGGCAGCTGGGGATGGGGCTGGCAGGGAGGCTGGGGCTTTGAGTTCTCAGCATCAGGAGGTTTGGGGGGCCACCCGGACACGGTGGTCATGGCTTCTGGCCTGATTCTGTCCTTCCCTTGTCTCCCTTCCCAGAGAAGCAGCTCCTTGACCCCGAGCACTCGGATAATTATGCTGCCTTCAAGAACTGGCTGCAGTGTTACTTGGTGCCTGGCATGAGCTCCCTGCGTGACCGCAATGGCAGGACCATATGGTTCCAGGTAGGAGCCTGGGGCTGCTGCCTAGAGCTGGGGAGCCCCCAAACCACTCCTCCAAGAGGACACTGGTCTGTTTTCTGCTTGCTGAGACTCCCATTACACTGTGTGGCTGAGGGTCTCCTTCTCCATCCACATGCTGGGCATGGAGGTGACAAGGACCTCCTGTGTGGTGAGCAGCCAGCTGTGAGCAATATGGAGCAGATGGAGGGAATGGGAGGGTTTGGGTGGTCTGACAGCCCTGTTCTTCCCTCCTGGACCCTGTGTTTGGGGCCTTGCAGGTACAGGGATTGATGGCAAGAGTCCCCAAGGGACAGGGCAGGCAGAGCAAGCCCAACTCCCCTGCTTTCCCAGGGAAATGTGGCTGTTTCCCTGTCACTGCAATGGCTGCAGGATGGAGAAGGGGCAGGGATTCTGCTGCTGCTGCCTGCAGAGTGACTGTACCCCAGTCAATTCTCTGTCCCTTCATTACAGGGAGAGCCTGGCCCCATGGCTCCCAAAGGTGAGTTTCCTCTCCCCTTCCTGTGGGACCCACTCTTGCTCCGGGAGGGTTGGAACACAAGGGCGCAGGCAGGAGCAAAGCCATTCTCTCTGGGGTGCAGACAGGCCTGTGACACTTGTTGGCACCAAGGGACAGAAGCCATTTGTCCCCAAGGCTTCCTACCAGCATCCAAACCTGTCTGGGTGCAGCTGTTGGATGGTTTTTCATCTTGTAGCTCCTCACTCTGAACAGCATTCCTGTAAGGTCACTGTGCTGTGGGCTGTCCCTTGGGGTGCAGGTTCTGCCTCATCCTCTCCTCACCCCACCTCACTTGGGCACTTCCTCTCATGCAGGGCAGAGACCCCGCAAGACGCCCTGTGAGAAGAGCCTTCAGCTGAAGGCAGACCCTGAGGCACCAAGCCCCAAGGTGAGCAGCTTTGTGGCTGTGTCTGGCTGTCCTTGTGCCCGTGCCTTGCTCGGGCTGCTCATGACTTCATGCTGATGATCCTACATGGAGTTCCTCATCTTGGTAAGCTCCGGCTCTGACGCCCACCCAGGTCACCCCACGTGCCTCGAAACAGCGCCGCAGGGCTGCAGTGAACCCCCCAAAGTCGGAGGAGAAGGAAGAGAAGGCTGCTGGGCCAAGGAAGGGATGTGCTCGCAGGAGGAGGAAAGTGACTGCTGCTCCAGCCTTGCCTGAGGTGCCTCTGTGTGTCAGAAGAAGCTGCAGGATATCCGCTCGCAGGGGCAAAGGTGACAGTGCCTGTGCTGCAGCTCCCACGTGGGGGCTGTGGGAGAGCTGCCTTGTGGCAAGGGGACTGAGGGGTGCCAAAAGGCAAGAGGGGAGCCCATGGGGCAGAACCAGATCCTCCCTTGCCCTCTGACTCCTCATTTCCCTCTTCCTTCTCCAGGTACAGCCCCTGCTGTGTGAGTGTCACCTGCTGCCACCTCCTGAGGGGCATTTAAGGGGCCAAGTGGAGCTCAGGCAGGGCCTGGCCACAGAGCAGGGTTAGTGCTAGTGAAAATGGAGCTACTCTGTACCTGTGCTCACACTTACTTGCTGCTGGTGCATCCTGCCAGTTTGGCAGGGAGAAGCTGAGTGTGGTGATGGGGCTTTTTCCTGCTGTCCACAGGCATTTGAAGAGAAAAAGGGCCAGGACCATGTGTTGTGCTGGACTCTGACTTTTCTCTCTCCCTCTTCCCTTTCTGGCTGCTGATCTCATCACTGTTTTTAGCTGACTAATAAAGTATTTTGTGTAGAAATCAGTGTGCATGCCTTTTCATGCAGAGGATAAATCCCTCTGTGCCCAGCGGCTTCTTCACAGGGGCTGGAGCAGACTTCCCCTCCACCTCATCCCCCCAAAATAAAGGTAAGTTCAGCCTCCCCAGTGCCAGGAGCGAGACCCTGCTCAGGTGGACACTAAAGGAGCAACTCCACCAAAGCCTCTGGGCAGAGGCAGGTCAGTGCAGTTACCTGGAAACAAGTTAAGAAAACAGGCTGGAGCTTGTTTTTATCTAATTCTCTTGATTTATTTTTTTTTTTGTGTGTTTCCTCTTCTTCAAGGGCAGTGCAAGGGGCAGGCAGGGGGAGAAGGGAGGAGTGGAGTGTGTTTTTCCACTCACTGATAGACAAGATGAAGGTTGAGACATAGGTGTCACTGTGGAAGCTGCTGCCCCCCAAACCTCTACAGCTGGAGCAGAGCCCCTGCAGGGCCACCAGTGAGCTCAGAACTCACTCCAGACCACCTGCCCTGGCTGGGCTGTGGGCAGCTGTCCTTCCCTGAGGAGCGAGGTTGCTCAAGCGCTGCACGTGGGTGCAGACAGGGGCACCCTGCCGTTCCCTGGAAGCGCTGCCTTGCACAGCTCTTGGGATGGGGAACAGCTCAGACTGTGATTTGAGCTCACGCTGCTGCTCCGGGTGCTGCAGCATCAGCAAGGGCCGATGTTTGGTGTCAGCGGCTCCAGAGCAGGAGCACGGAGAGCACGAGGAAGGGCGTGAAGGAAAGCCTCAGGCCCCGCTGCTCCAGCGGCACGTGGCCCTGCGCAAGCGGATGCTCCAGGAGGTCACAGCTGGGAGGCAAAGCACAAGGCTGAAGGGACTGATCTCCATCCCCATGCACCCCCAGCCCTTCCGCATGCACTCACAGCATCGCCTCCTTAACGGGGAGGGAGGTTTGGAGCCAGGCGGTGACTGTGCTGCCATGGGCCTCGTAGAGCCGAACCACCAGAGCCTCAGGTCTGTCCTCGGCCTTTGGGGGAGTTCAGACAGATGAGACAGGCACAGCCTCTTCAACACCAGTTGCTGTGCTCAGATAACGTGACCGCCACGGGGTGTGGGTGAAAGAGCAAGCCCTGCTCAACAACAGCACCTCAGCCCCTCTGCCCTCCCCTCCTCTACCCCAGCACCTGCCTGCTTGACAGTCTCCAGCACGACAGCAGGTGAGCTGACAGAAAAGGCACTCCAGGGTGAGCACTGGGCACAGCTGGCCGGGACCATGTGCAGGGGGAAATTCAAGTTGTAGGCTTGCTGAATCACACCGGCCTCCTGGAAGGAACCTGCAGCACAAGAACCTCTCTCTGGTCAGCCTCTGTATGTGCACACTCACCCCAAGGCTCACTGGAGCAGCTCCCACCCAGCTCTGCCTGTCACTCACCCTGGTGAGGCATCACAGCGTAGGTGAACTGGTGGTGCCCAATGTCTGCCGTGGAATCGGGGGACTTGGGTGCTCTCAGCCTAAGGCAACGTGAGGTTAGTGAGAGCGGTGCCTTGGCAGCACCCACTGTCACCCAGAGCAGAGCCAGGGCACTGTGACAAGACACCTGCTTCCCTTGCTACCTCAAGGCTGGCCCCTGAAGTGGAAGCAGACACCCAACAGCAAACAGACCCTGGACAGTTCCAGAAGCTAAAAAACTGGGGTGTCATCCTGTGAAAATTGTGGCTGATGGTGTCAAACTGAAACACACAGCTTCTTTTAGCTTTTTATGCATCTGTAACATTAACACTCCTGTTCCTTCCCTCTCCTTAAGCCTCCCTTCCTGGGGTATGTTTTAGTTAGCAACAGGAAAGCTACCTGCTACAAACATGAAGCCGATCTCTCCTGAATTATCTTTGAGCACAGTTCACAGGAATTAGTTCTAACTGACTAAGATAATGTAATGCAACCAAACTCTCAGAAAACAGCCACCCACCGGACTATTTCCTTGTTATAACTTAGGTCATTAAGGAGCAGGTGTTGCCTTTACTTCCAAGAGATGCCTCAGAAGGCAGAGTACCCGCAGCAGCTCCCCCTCACCCATGCCTAACTCACAGGGAGAGGCTGAGGACGTTCCTGTGGGCTGATGCTCCGTATTTGCAGTCGTTCAGCAGAGCTACCCCGAAGCCATGCTCAGAGAGATCCAGCCACTTGTGAGCCCACACCTGCAGCAGGTACCAAGGGATGTGCTCAGCTCACGGAACAGGAGCAGCTCAGCCCTGGGACCAGAGCAGCTCCCTCCTCACCTCGAACCGAGCCCAGTCCCAGGACGTGTTCCAGTGCGTTGGGCGCTGCAGGTGTCCGAACTGGATCTCGTAGGTAGCATTTGTGCTCCGGACCTGCACAGGGAACTCCACCTTCAGGAACTTGTGAGCCTCCTTCCACTCAACCTAAATGTGGCAGCAGAAGGATATCACCATGGGGGACTGACAGGCAGAGACTGCACTTCTCATGTCCCGGTGTGCAGCAGCCAGTCCACGCCAGCTACAACAAAAACACACCAGAGTCTCAACACAGCTGAACTGGTGTGTCCCTCTTCCACCCCTGTCCCTCAGGACCCCCACCTCGGGCTGCTTTCTGCAGAGGAAGAAGGCAGCAGGGGACTCCAGGGAAGGAAACGGGGAAGGGGGGATGTACTTGAGGCACAAGGTTCATCTCCCCAGCTCCCAGCTGTGTAGGATGTTAGCAGCACACAGCAGCCAGGGGCCAAACCTGGGTCAGGAAGCGGAGGTACGGGCACGCGGCATCCAGGATGATCTCCTGGCTTAAGGTGCTGCTTTTCCCGACCTGCAGGGAGAACCTCACGCTTCCCCGCAGGCCCCCAGCCAGAGTGATTTCCAGAGGCTTCAGCAGCGTTGTCACTGGCTTCCTAGAGAATGGAATGAAGGCAGAGATAGTCTCAGCCTGGTAGATCCAGGTTCCCAAATCCCAGTGCAGCCACCCACACACCAGGCATTCACTTCTCCAGAGTGAATGCTCTCTTACAGCCAGGACTGACAGGGAGGCAAGAATCCAAAGCACTGCTCCTCTACCTGGTTTCCAAGTGATAATCCATCACATCCCAGGCATCCCAGTAGAGGGGAACATCATCAAAGAGTGCAAACTGGTTGGCATAGCAGCCATCTGGGACTGACTCTCTGAAAGAAAGTGGAACAGGGGCACAGCGGCATCAGAAGGACTGGCAGTGGAGAAAGGTGCACAGTGAGAAGTCCTGGGTGAGGTTTGAGGAGCTCAGGGCCAGGAGCTGGGTGACACAAACCTCCCGGAGTCCAGCAGCTGAAGCGAGGTCAGGTGCCCCATTGTGTCCAGGCAGACAGCAATCACCCCATTCTCCATGGTGATGGAGCCATCCTCCTTGGGAACAGGCCAGAAACAGGTGTCACAGACCCACACCTGCGGGAGCTGACTGCCTCCATTGCAAATTTAATTTAATGTGGATTCCTTAGATTCCTCCTCAAACGACCTCTGATGCCAGGAACACAGACCTGAGGGAATCTGCCTTGTGCTTACCTGTTTCCTCACTGCCACAGGCTGAGGAGGCACAAATGGCTCCTGCACTAGAGCATAGCCCATGCTGGGGACTGTCACCAGAGCTGGAAAGCAAAGAGGTTCTGCTCCAACACTCGCCCCAGACTGAATCCTAAGTCACACACAACTGCTGCCCTGCTGCTCTCATGTCAGATCTACCGCCTCCTCCCATACCCTCCTCATCCTCATGCGTGCTTCAGGGGACTTTATCCCCTCCCAAGTTATCCAAAGAACAAACTGAACAGTCCATAAAACCCTCCCCAGGACAGGGGGAGGCAGAGTATTTCCCTGTTAGCTATCTCTGCCCCTGTAAGGAACTCTGATAGAAGAACTACTCCCAGGTCAAGCATACCCAAAGTCTCTGTTCCATCTGGCCCAGGCCTGGAGATCACCTCGGTGCGTTCCCAGGACAACGTATTCAACACCAGGGTGCTCGGGGTGCTCCTCACCTCGGGCTGCAGCAGATCCCTGCACAGGGACTGCACAGCTTCCTCCTGCAGCTGAGCACCAGCCCTGCGGATCTCTGGGCAACAAAAGGGCCTGAGTTGGAGCTGAGAGAGCTTCTGGCACTCCCTGTGCAATGTACACACACTTTATCTCCTTCCAAGCTACAATTGCTAATTATCATTAATTATTATTATCTATTAGTAAGTAATTCAAGTGTATAATTATTATGAACTTTGTTTTTACAAGATTACAATGAGCTGTGCCAGCTCAGCTGGAAAATTCTGGTTAACAAAGCTCCTGCAAGCACCCCTGGGCAGGCAGAAACAAACCTTGGTGAGAATCTATGACATGCCAGGCAGCAAGCAGAAAAGTCAATAAATGGGGATGGTTCTCAATCCCTTGGCTCCCCAGCTAATCTTACGCTGTTTCAGACCTGCCTGCCGAGGCTGTCCAGGGTTGGAACCTCCGCAGCCCCACCAGGCAGGACCTGCTCCCACAGGTGAGTGCCCTCCTAGCCAAACTCCCTGCTCACCTGTGTAGTATTGCAGGGCATCCTCAACCACCAGCTGGATACAGCTGCCTGGCAGGACATCATGGAACTGGTTGAGCAGCAATAACCTAAAACAGAGAGCAGAAACCAGGGAAGAAAGTGGCGGAGAGCACCGGATTTGCGCTGGCTTAGAACAAGCTCTTGTCTCAAACAAAAGCCCTGTTTGCAAGAGAGACAAACTTCATAACTGTTCTTATTCCCCCATCACCCAGCACTCGAGAGAACAGGATTTTTTCCACAGCATCCTTTAAACCCCTTCATGTCCGGGCTTGCCAGCTGTCATCTCAGTAAACCACAACCACGGGCAGTAAGAGCTATTTGTTTGTACCCCTCAGGGCTACGAGATACGTTCTTGTACAAGCTCAAACAAGCCAAAAACTGTGCAGGAATAAGCTTTGGTAGGAAATGGAGCTTCCAGACAGCAGAGCAGAGAGGGTTTGGAGTTATCTTTCAGCAGGAGAATCAAGCAAAGCAGCAAATTCTTTGCAGGTAGATTCCTGCTCAGTTTATGGCAGGGGCTGTGTACACACGGTGCTGCAGCACTGAACTCTCCCCCAGTACCACCAGTGCCCTCCCTCACCTCCAGAGCTGCTGGAGCTGGCTGGCAGGGTACTGGAATGCTCTATCCTGAGCCACAGCCAGGCTGCTGAGCACTTCCACGTCATGGAGAATCCGCTCACATTCCCGATTCCCCTTCTTTATCTGGTGCCAATTAAGGACAGAAGGAAGATGCTCAGGAAATGGATAGCTGGGAGTGGATCTCTCACACCAGAATCCCAGCTCCAGTGCAGGAGGGTTGGGTGCTTGCAGATGTCAGGGCTTGGCATGGCCCCCTTGCCTGGGAGTGGGATCCTCACCTGGGCCTGGGTGGTGTAGGTGCCATTGTGCAGCTCGAGGAAGAGCTCTCCCACCCAGGTGCACAGCTGGGATGACTCCTTCTCCAAGACAGAAAAGAGCTGGTCGGGAGTAGAGATCTGCACTCTGTGGGACAGACACACAGGCAGTGTGAAAGGGAGAAGCCTGTGACATGGCTAATGGTGCACCCAGCTGGAAAGGTGACAGGCCTCAGAAAACCGCAACACAACCATGCAGAGTAATCCCCTCACCCTTCTCCCACCCCTCTCCTGCTCCTCTGTGACCCCATCCCTCTCCTGTGGACAGTCCCCAGGCAGGTGGTGGCTGCCAGGCACAGCTGCTGTGCTGCCCATTCTCCCCACGGCTCTCCTGAGGGGTCACAAGCAGTCCACGGCTGCCCTGTGGACCTGTTCTTACAGCTCTTGGTGATGGAGAGATTCCATCCCCATGAAATCCATCCCTGGTACCTGCCCATCTCCCTGACCTTCTCCCTTTCTTTTGGCACTGCCAAAGGCTGGGCCTGGCTCAAAGCAAATGCCCCTGCCAGGAGAGAGGATGGGAGCTCTCCTCTCACCTGGGCAGCCCATCTGTGTCACTCATTCTTTTCATCCTATCCAGCATCTTCTGCGTGGGTCCCCCTCCTCCATCCCCAAAGCCGAAGAGGAATGCGCTGTGGTTCACACGGCCTTTGTCCTTGTTGTTCTTCACTGTTTTCAGCATCTGAAGGGATTTTTGGGCAGCTGCAATCCCCTGGCACCTAGCCCCAGCTCCATACAAGAAAGCCAGGTCAGTCTTTAGAGTGCAAAGCCCAGTCTTGCTCCTCTTCCCCGGCCCAAAGTGCCCAAATCAGGCACAGGAACATCTTGGAGTCAGGCGCCCCAAGATCCTTTGTCCAAGACATCCCACTCCCTGCCCAGGCAGTGCCCTCTCCCAGGAGCCTCACATCTGGCCTCAAGGGGCTGGCACTGTCCTTCCCATGCAGGCTGGGCAACCTCACTCACCTCTTCCACTCGCCCATGCATCCCATAGGAATCACCAGGGGGGAAATGGGTCAGGACTTGGGAACCGTCAATGCCTTCCCAGAAAAAGGTGTGATGCTGGAGGGGAGAGAAAGGAAAATGTGGTGCACAAGGACATTTCAGAGCCTCTTCAGGATTCAAAAGGGACCTTCACTTTCTCTCCAGGGAGGTGCAGGATGCCCTGCTGGATCAGTTCAAAGAGGGGACAAGAACAGGGAATGCCACGAGGACAGGGGCTGGATTTGCTATCTGTTGGACCTGCATACAAGTCACAGCTTCCCATCTGGAAGCAGAAGGAATATCTAGGCCAGGGGCCTGGCTGGGATCTCTAATCATGTCCTTCCTCTCTCCTGAAGCCTGACAGGACAGCACTACCACCAAAACCTAGTGGCTTCTGGAAGCAGAGCCTGTCTTAGCTGAAGACCTGTGGAACCAACAGGTCCACCCCTGCAGAAGACTAGCACCCACCCATCCATCCCCTGGGGAGAAGGCAAGCGTAGCTCACAGGGAAGGAGTTCACCAGGTTCCAGCTGAGCTTCTGTGTGAGGAAGCGCTGGATCCCACAGCCACGCATCAGCTGGGGCAGCTGGGCCGAGTACCCAAACGTGTCCGGCAGCCAGAACTGGGAGCACAGATGACAGGAGCAGAGGGACACACACAAGTCAGCCCAGCCTCACAAAGAGCAATGGGCAGAAGGAGATGGAGGGCAAGGAAGGGGAGATGGAAAAGAACAAGCACCTCCGAGCAGATCCGACCAAACTGCTCCTGGAAGAACCTCTGTCCCTGGAGAAACTGCCGCACCATGGACTCCCCGCTGGGCAGGTTCCCATCCTGGGGGGAAGCACGGGGATCCATGAGGAAAGCCAGGCACCAGGGAAGGAGAGATCTTGTAAGACCCCCCCTGACCTGGCAGATCGTGAGGAGAACCTCAACAGGGTTCAGCAGAGGGAAAAAGGAGGAACACACGAGGGAGTCCAAAGCTCCTTTCTCAGGGAATGATCTGGGAGCATTGTATTTTTGTTAGGCTGGACACTTCAGACAGCTGCTGTTCCTAAGCCTGGAGACCATGGCCAACCAGACAGGCTCAGCAAAGGCTCTGCTCTCCCCTGCAGTGTCAGGCCTGGTCCCAGAGGAATGCACAAGGAGGATGTGGCAAGCCAGGCTCATGCTACTCACCATTTCCACCCAAGTGCCTCCAACAGGAATGAACTGTCCCTTGGCCACAAAGTCCTGAATGCGTGCATAGAGCCCAGGGTAGCGGCTCCTCACCCACTCAAACTGCTGCGCCTGCCAGAGCACACGGATCAGCCCCAGCTCGCCCCACACCCCCTCCCTTCCTTCTGCAACACTTCTGGTTGGTTACATCCCCCCATCTCCTTCTGCTGGAGAAGCAACACACCACGAGCAGAGGTGTCCAGAGGGAGGTCACTCACCTGGGAGCAGGCGAAGGTGAGCTCTGGGTTGTGCTCCATCAGATGGACCACGGTGACCCAGCTCCGGGCACACTTACGGACGGTCTCCTCGTACGGCCACAGCCAGGCTGCAGGGACAGGCACAGCCCCACCACAGTTACTACCTAACACAAAGCTCCTCATGGAGCTGGAACCTCTCTGAAACCCCTCCCGAGATGGAAAATCAAGGGCTGAAGCCCAACAGGACAGAAGACTGTAATTCATCCCTCGTCCCCAGTCCTATCAGTGTTCCAAAGGGCCAGACCCACATTCCCCACATTGCCCCAGTGACAAACCAGTTATGTGGCATCACAGAGGCCCAGCACACCCTGGCCTCCAAGTGAGAGGAGAGGGAGAGCTGTGCTGCTCTCACCAGAGTCGATGTGGCAGTGTCCCACGGCATGGATGGTGTGCTGGCTCTCGCCGTTCCTCTGGCTGAAGATGGCTGCAGCCAGGTCATGTGCAGCAGGAAGGGTGGAGAGGTCCGTAACATCACACACGTTGACCATCTGGTTGGCAGTGTACAGTGCCTGGAAACTCCTCTGGTTTTCCTCCCCGAGGAGCTGGGGTTGAGAGGGATAAAAGTATGTCTCTGGCCACTGTATCAGCTCAGATGTCACCTGCCTCCAGGAGAACTTGCTACCTCCTTTCAACAGCTATCTCAGGCACTCATAACAGGTAAACAGCGTGTCTCTGCTTCACAAGCACAGCCTTATGCTTTTTCTTACATGCCTTCCAAATCCAGGTTCCACATATGCCCATTCCAGGGGACCATGGTTAACACATCCTGCTTTGGAGCAGAAAGTGGAAGAAAAAACACCTGTGGCTTCACTCAGTTCAGTTTTCTCCTGCTCTAGAATATTCTGAGTTGGAAGGGACCCACAAAGGTCATCAAGCCCAGACAACTGTGATAAAGCAGAAGCAGCAAACATTTTCTCCTCCAAGGTGTCAGGTGATTGAACAGCAGGAGGAGGAGGAGATTCAGTTGAGGAAAAGGTGAAGGAAGGGAAGAGGAGCTCCCAGACCTGAGCCATGTCCAGCAGTATTTCCAGATCCACCAGCAGTTCATAGACATCTCTGTTGAAGACAACCAGCTCAGCTTTGCTCAGGGTAACCCTCCTGTCTGGGTCCGGAGGGGCGATCATGCTGCCTTTGCCAGCTCCAAAAAGCCCATTGCAGGCCAGCTCCACGTACAGAGTCAGGCTGTGGGGACAAGAGGGAACCATCAGGGAGCAGGTCACAAGCACCAGGACACAGACAAGGATGTGCTGTCCTCGGCCTCTTGGCTTCCAACAACACCAAGCTGCCCCAGCAGAGGGGGGCTCTGGCTCGGCTGACCACCCACCTGTGGGGCTCTGACTCTTTCAGGCTTCTTGTCAGGATGTAGCTGGTCTTCTCACCTTCCTTAGTCAATCCCTGCACAGGAAGATGGCACATTCAGCACGTGTCAGCAGAGGTTGGATGGGCACGATGAGATGCCCCAAAGTCCAGCTGGACAGAGAGGCTGGTCCCACGTGCTGTGGGATAATTGTTGGCACAAGAGCAGGAACAGAAGCTGTTGCTGCCTCAGCAGCACTGTGAGCCGTGCACAGAACACGGCAGGAGTGCCAAAGGTCACCACTCTGCACACAGCAGGGCACCTGGCACACCCCTGATCTGTGTCTCCATACCTGCACAGGCTGGGCATCTCTCCACACCATGCCCTCCCCATCGCTCTCCCAGACAAAGTGCACTTCCTGCCCTGCCCATGCCAGGGGGATGCTCAGCTCCACCTTAAACCAGCACGTCTCCCATCTGGAAGAGAGCAAGCAGCAGCCACAGTCCGTGTGTGACCTTCTCCTGAGGGAAAGCATGCTTCCTCAGAGCCCTCCGTGGAAAAACATCACCCCCAAACCGTGGGGACAGCCCATGAATTTGATGGGATTCACACACAAGGATGCTGCCTGTCCACAGACACACCTGATTTAACCTGTGCCCTTCTGGAACCCCAGAGAAACTGTCAGTGGCATCTTGTCTGACCACTGCTGGGAAAAGAATCTTCTCCCAAACTTGATAAGCAAACACATCCTCCCCAGAAGCATCAGAGACACAACCACGGTCACAAGGAGCTCACAGCAAGAAACTTGTCAGTTCCCTCATGAAATCTCTCTTAGAGTTCCTGGGCAGGCACCTCCAAGCACCCATCACGGAACAAGATCATCATCTCACGTCTTCACCAGGGAGAACTTGTGAGGACTCACCCACACAAATAACTCTGAGACGCGAGCTCCAACCCTACCAGGGACGCAGCACCGCCGAAACCTGCTACTCACGTGGGCCCAAAAGAGTCTCCCACTTGAGTTGGCCTGAATTCCTGCACAACAGCCTCCTCGTACGAGATGCGCCGCGGAGTCTGGAAGTACGAGAGCGATGCGGGTGGACAGCGATCCCCAAAAAGCCTGTGCTTGGAGATGGAGTAAGATCAGTCCCTCGTGGATCAGCCCAGGGGTGGTACAGAGAGCTTTCACAGCATGGCTGAATCGCCCTACCACCACCCAACACCCTCGATAATATGAACACATCACTGAGTAATAAAGCGGCCCGTTGGCCCCTAGAGGCCAGGGGAGGGCTGGGGGGGCTGAGGGGCTGTGTCGTGGAGCCCCGAGGCAGCGCTCCATGCCCACTAAGGAGAGCGTGTGTTTATGTGTGTGTGTTTATGTGTGTGTTTATGTGTGTGTTTATGTGTGTGTTTATGTGTGAGATTGTTCCCCTCCGCCTGAGTCCCCCGAGCTCTCCGAGCCCCCGCACACACGGGGCAGCGTCCCGGGGCAGCATCCCCACCCTGAGGGGAGACACCGCAGCTTGTCCCGGCCGCCAGCACCGCGGGGGTGTCCCGGAGAGTGCCCCGGCCCGGAGCCCACCTGCCCCGCAGGTTGCAGTCGGTGAAGTAGGTATCGGAGAGGAACTTCTCCACTCGCTCCAGGGCCGTCCGCCGGTGCTTGATCGCGGCCATGGCGGCGACAGAGCCCCGCCCCGCCCCGCCCCGCGCAGGCGCAGCCCGGAGGAGCCCGCCCGGAGGAGCCCGCCCGGAGGAGCCCGCCCGGAGGAGCCCGCCCGGAGGAGCCCGCCCGGAGGAGCCCGCCCGG